AGTGCTAAGTGAAGTTAGCCAATCCCCCCAAACAAAAGCTATATCCCCAGATATTTTTATTTTTTACACTGAATTGCCCAGGCTGGCCTGGAACTTGGAATCCTCCCACCTCATACGCTACCATGATTAAAATAATTTTGAGACAGGGCCTCAACTAAATTGCCCAGGCTACCCCATATTTGTGATCCTCCTGCCTCAGCCTCCCAAATACAGACATATACCACCCCACCTGGCTAATTATATTTAAAGGCTATACATTTCTACATAATTTAAATTTTCAATTCAATAATCTTTTTTGGTATTGGGGATTGAACCTAGGGGTGCTTAACCACTGAGTCACACCCCCAGCCTTTTTWAAAGACAGGGTCTTGCTGAATTGCTAAGTTGCTGAGATTGGCTTTGAAACTGTGATCCTCCTGCGTTAGCCTCCTGAGCCACTGGGATTACAGGCATGTGCCATCGCACTCAGCTTTTTTTTTTTTTTTTAAACCATTTTTCTTTCATTTAAGAAAAATGTTTTAAAAGGTTTTCTTTCTTTCTTTTTTGGTGATGGGGGTGGTGGGTACTAGGGATTGAACTCAGGGGCATTCAACCACTGAGCCACATCCCCAGCCCTATTTTGTATTTTATTTAGAAAGAGGGTCTCACACTGAGTTGCTTAGCACCTCGCTAAAATTGCTGAGGCTGGCTCTGAACTTGCCATCCTCCTGTCTCAGCCTCCTGAGCCACTGGGATTAAAAGCATGCATCACCTACACCAGGCATTCCCTAAATTTTTGACACCCAGAAAATACTGAAGGTTTATTCCAGTTCTTTTCCGGATTTCATTTTTATTGAACTATTTCCATCTGTGTGGAATACCTTTGGACAATGATACTTCCCACTGAATTCCAGTTCCAGTTTCAAACCCTTTCAGTGAATTTAATCCTCCTCAGAACTAATGGGTTCATAGCTAAACTGTGGAGCCAACCTAGACTGTGGAGCCCTTTAGTGGATGAATAGATAAAAAAAATATGGTATATGTACACAATGGAATTTTACTTAGCAATAAAATAAAATAAAATCATGACATTCGCAGGTAAATGGATGACGTTGGAGAAGATAATGCTAAGTGAAGTTAGCCAATCCCCCCAAAAAAATGCTGAATGTTTTTTCTGATATAAGGATGCTGACTCATAGTAAGGTAGGGAGGGGGAACATGGGAGGAATAGATGAATTCTAGATAGGGAAGAGGGGAAGGAGGGAAAGGGAGGAGGCAGGGGATTAGCAAGGATGGTGGAATGTGATGGACATCATTATCCAAAGTACATGTATGAAGACAAGAATTGGGTGTCAACCTACTTTATATACAAACAGAGATATTAAAATTATGATGTGTAAGCAAAACAACAATAAAAACCCAAACAAAAAACAAAGTACAAGTATAAAGACATGAATTAGTGTGAACATACTTTACATACAAAGACATGAAAAACTGTGCTCTATATGTGTAATAAGAATTGTAATGCATTCTGTTGTCGCGTATTTAAAAAACTAAAATCAATTAAAAAAAAAGAACTAATGGGTTCAAAAGTTAATATGGGTTCTTATTTTAGAGAATTAGCATCATCTTTGAATCCAGAGTCTACTAACAACATAGTACAGGACTAATGATGCTACTCTTTCTAACCCTTACTGGTTCCTTGCCTCTACTTCACACCCTTTTTAATAGACCCTCTGCACATTATATGGAACCACATTGCTCCTGTGTTTAAACCCTGGTGCGAATGGGATAGTGGGCCAGGCAAGTCAGAGGAGAAGATAAAGACAAACACAGCAAGTATGACACAGAAAGTTCCAGCTTCATCACCACTGCCAACCCTATGGCACTTTCATTCTGAAATGGAAACAAATTATTCTCCATTTCTAGAGCTTTTTATGTTGTTTTACTAGTTTATGCTTTTATAGATGCTATCTATTCTATTCAAACGCAGACCTTCCCTTCTCTGTCCAGGTCCCCAGCTCTTCTTTAAAAGTTAACCCAACAGTCTTCCCTCTCCTGCTGCCCTAACCCTCCCTCCACAAAGCAAAATATGCTCTCCTTCAATTCATACCCTGTTCTTGACCCTTCTTCAATATAGTATATACTAAATCTACTCTCCTTCCAGGCTGTAAAGTACCTTGTGCCAAGGACTGCTATCTTGAATCAATGCTTGTTATAAATACCCTAAGACTGTGCCTAAAATACAGAATTCCATGCATTTGAATAACCACTGTTTCAACCTCAGTACCACACGTACTCCATGAAATAGGRACACGTTTTAAACTATTGAGATTCTTGACCTTATGTTTTTTTTTTTTTTTTTGGGGGGGGTGCTGGAATCAAACCCAAAGTCTCATGCATGCTAGGCAAGCACTATACACTGAGATACATCCCTAGCCCTCCATTTTTAAACTAACATCTGAAAGAACTAGTGAAAACTAAGGGGACAACATATCACAAACCAAAACTTCTTTAGGATGAGGACAGTTGGCTAAAATGGGACTTGAATATTCAAGTGGACTCCTGTAATAGACTGGCACCCAGCCAATATATGGCCTCCAATTACATATGATCTAATATCCCAAACAATTCTCAACAAGCAATTATACCAAGTATCCTGACACTAAGCCTTAAAGAAAGGTTAATATTTGAATCCCTGTTAGCACCTGGCAAAGAATAGTGAATAAATGACCACTAGACAAATAGGTGATAATAATGGTACACTGGTAAAGAACTGGGATATGGAAGAATCAACTGGTAACCCAAGAAATGAGATATAAAAAATGGCAGAAGGAATGTGGGAACTTTCTAATCACCATCAGACTTAATTAAAATCTGAAGGAGGTCTAATTACAATGCAATTCTTACTACAGAAGCTTCAACAGAATTCAATCAAATGTATTCTACCTTATCTTCTAATAAATACTTTAACAAAAGTAATTAGCTGCTTGATTTTTTTTTCTTTTCTTTTTTTTTGAGGAGGGGAAGTGGAGGTACTCAGGAGCCAACCTAGGGTTTTGTGCATACTAGGCAAGCATTTTACCATTGGGCCACATTCCTAGCCCTTGCTTAAAACTTACGAAAGCTTAGAGAGCTAAAACTAGGTACTGACTTCACCAACATTTTCTGCTGTGTAGCAGGAGCAGGCTATCAAGACTTCCCCATTCTTAGAAAAAACACCCAAGAAACTCAAGATTACCCTCCCCACTGATTTAAAAGCCAGAAGTTTTCTCATTACCAATGTAGCCTCCAGGTTCCATGACACAGGAAAAGAGGTTCCTTGGAAGCAGACAAGAATACTGCAGTCACAATCTGTCCACTGAGTTATTGAGAAATAGTCCCTTAGTATCGAGATTTAGAAGCATTCAAATTTGTGCTGTGGTGACTCTATCAAGGAAACACCACCTTGGGAAAACACTTCCATGACCAAATGTCACCCCCATTACCATGGAACCGAGTAACATATGCAATGAACAGATAATGTGTACTCCACTCTCCTTCCTTTGAGGAGTACAGAGTACACGTTAGTTAGCACATTAGAGTGCACAATAATTTCATGTCCCTAAATGAGGGGTGTGGATAAATGCAATAATACCTTCTGTCTCTCCCTCTTCTGAAGATATTAGGATTGTTCCTTTCCCATCTTCAATTTGGACATCTGGTGCTACCATAGCAAATTTTTCTTTTACTATCTATAAGAAAAAAAAAAGATTAAAAAATATTAATACAGGCAATTAAAGACCATTTAAAAATAAATAAAAACCTCTAGATTTGTTTCTATAAAGGCTCTTACTTTCTCCTTTCATAAAGGGGCTAGTTAGGAAAAACTGGAGAGTTAGCCACATTCAACCACAAATGTAGATCAGAGCAAACTTCCTCTAAATGGGACTTAAGAACTACTTGACTGGCTCTTGCTATTTTCTTCCCCCGAACATTAGGAAGTGGACTCCAAACTTAACATTTCATCCCAGTTTCTATACAAGCCCTGTAACAGAAGGTTTGACAGATGAAAAGAAATTCTTACTAACCTGATTCTCAGATGACCTCATCTTTCCTGAATTCCATATAGGTTTGGAAGATTTCTAAGCGATCATATTCTGATCACTACCAGCTCCTAAAAATTGATATGGAGTATCTCTCTAGGGGTCTAATTACCCTCAAATAAAGGAATTATCTTTAATCCCAAGTCAATATTTTCAACAATAATAATTCCTAGGAATAAAAGGGGGCAGCAACCCTCCAATGTCCAGTTAATCAAGATCTGCTACCTTCCCTGACTAAGATATGATTACAAATTAGTCTTCCCTATGTAGCCAGTTCTAGGAGGAAGGTCATTCCCTACCCACTTTGGGAAAGGCTTAATCACCTATCTCAAGAGTTATGTAAATATGTAGCACTGTGATGGATTCAATCAGAGAACAATCCAAAATGCTCCCCTAAGTGGGAAGGGACACTTTTCAGTCATTTAAAAAATAAAAAAGTTCAATGAAAATAATCTAGACAATTTAGAAGGAACCTAAATCTTTTTCTTGCATAGTACGCCTGTGTGGGAGGGGGAAGGTAGATGGTACAGAGGATTGAACCCAGTGCCTCACTCATAGACAAGCATTGCTACCACTAAGCTACATCTTTAGCCCTCTTTATTTTGAATTAGGATCTTATTAAATTGTCCAAGATGCCCTCCAATTTGTGATGCTCCTTCCTTAGCCTCCCAAGTAGCTGTGATTCCAGGTGTGCATCATCACACAGGGCTTAGACTATATCTTAAACCCCCATTTCTTATACTCCTGCTCTATAAGTGAATCCAGAAATCTATATAAGTCTCAGATTCCATAAATAATTAACAAGACCCTCCTAATTTTGTGGGAATGGGTACTGTCCAACATCTAGAGCACCTGAACTCTGCAAGTTATCCCTACCCTTAATACAAAACTACTAACTGGGATTTTGCTCCACTGGAAACATAGAACTTTGTTATTCTTAGTCAAGTATTCACAATTCATAAAAATACCTTGTCTGAGACAAGTGCAGTAGTCTGTAACTATAATCTCAGCTAGTAGGAAGGTTAAGGCAAAAGGATCACAACTTTAAGGCCAGCCTCAAGAAGAGAAAAAAGAAAACCTGGGAATATAGTCAAGTTTAGTGGTCTAGCACCCCGGGTTCAATCGTTAGTACTACCATAAAACAAAACAAAAAAAAACTCTTTGTGGGTTTGGCCATAGCCAAAACTATTCAAAGACATTTCTTTTTTTTTTCAGTTGTTTTGTTCGTTTGTTTTGGTGCTGGGGATTGAACCCAGGGCCTTCTATATGTGAGGCAAGCACTCTACTAACTGAGCTATATCCCCAGCCCCGAAGACACTTCTTTATCCAAAAAGGAAAAAAAAAAAAAAAAAATCAGAACTATTTGGGAGGCTAAACAGGAGAATCACAAGTCTAAGGCCAGCCTCAAGGTAAGACCCTATATTAAAATAAAAAATAAAAAGGTCTGGAGACTTATCTCAGTGGTAGAGTGTCCTGGGATTCAACCCCTAGTATTACCAAAACAAACGAACAAAAATCAGAATTTACTCACTATGTGGGAAATAAAGAGCAAAGAAGTCTGCCTGCCATGATACTATGCCACCTATGGTACATATTCCAGACAAATACACTTATACCTTATGTGCCTGGGATAGGAGGCACATATTCTGGAATCAGAGAGAAAAGCGCAGCAATCTAGATAGTGAAATAATCCAGGAAATTAGAGCAACTCACTTCAGAGATTTTCGGAGCAATTACCTGGTATTTAGTTTGTTACCAGGTATTTAGTAATATGCTGTAAAGGAGAAAAGGACACTTGGATTTTTTTGTTTTAGGGAAGAGAACTGGCCCCTGAACTCACCTTATCTTGCAAGGTGAGAACAGTCACTTTGTGGACATTCAGTCGCACAGTCACCTCTGGCTTGCTGGCACACACATAACAATTGGGGTTAGGAGGATCCAGTGCACAAGGCACAAGCAGCTTCTTTCTTGGGTTTGGTTGTTTATTCAAAAAAATCTTTGGAGAAAAACCAAAAAGCAGGAATCAGAAATGTGAATTACTATTTTATATACCAATCTAAAAATCATTTTGTGTATTAATAAAAAAAACAACATTAAACATTCTCCTCTAGAGATGGCAAGGATCAGGAAAATCATAACTTTTTAAAGAGTCTAGTTTTTTAATCTTCTTTTCTATTTAGCTACCATATAAACAGCTGGGTTTACTCTAAAGACACCTGTTTGTTTTGTACCGACTCCACATGCTTCTGCTAATTAATTTAGCAAGAGTATAAGTACAGCCATATTTGTCTCTGGTATCATCATTAAATTAGCTTCTGGGTGTCCTTCATAGTTTTTATTCTCAGTTACTTTAAGTCAACCTCTTTGTAAGACCAACACACTGCTGCAATTAATGATAATGCTTTTATAAATATATGGAACAAAAGTGACCACCTTTCCAAATTTCCTAGGACAATTAAAATAACATTTATGGAAATAGGGGAAAGATACTGGTATTAATGCTATTTGTCTAATATCTTCTCCTCAAAAAAAAATTAAAAACCAAGACCAATTTTTAAAAAATTACACTGAATTAGGGAAGGTCCCAACTACTATAAAGTTTGGTGCACACTATCAACACACTATCAACATTAAACAAATACAACAAAGTCAGAAGAACAGAAGAAGCTTAGATACAAATTTTCCATGTGTCTACAATGTAGCACTATGTCTACGAAGAATCATTAACTCTAAAGGAGAACCCTATAGATTCCCCCAAGTTTAAAGGAGTATATCCTTGGAGACAGTAGAGTCGCCCTCTGTAACTTTTCCATACAGTGAGTACTGGTCATGTAGCAGGGCTAGAAAGCAAACTAGAAAACAAATGGGGGAAACATTTCTTTGATTTTTGGGCTTTGCCAGGAAGATTTAAGTATACTAAGGAAAATAATAATAAAACAAAATTGGGATTAGGGATATAGCTCAGATTGTGTACTCAGTCTGTGTAAAGGCACTCAGACCAATCCTCACTCCAAAAAAGGTATTACTGTTAATAGCCAGGCAAACATTATTAATCCATCTTAATATTCATTTAAAAATGTGAACAAAGTAAATCCACATATATAAGTATCAACAGTCCAAGAGGTGGATGGAAACAAGCAAGCAAAGAAATCAGAAGGATGTTACAGGAAACTGACATAAAGTAARTTTGACAATCAGTTATGATTGTGGGCTCAAAAGAAAAAATTTTAAGAAGTTCTTAGAAATTAAAATTATGGCAGCCAAAATAAACATTTAAATAGAATTGAATCAGCACAGTGTCACACACCTGTAATCCCAGTGGCTCCAGAGGCTGAGGCAGGAAGATAGCAAGATCAAAGCCAGCCTCAGCAACAGCAAGGTACTAAGGAGCTCAATGAGACCCAGTCTCTATAAAAAGGTACAAAATAGGGCTGGGGATGTGGCTCAGTGGTCCAATGCCCCTGAGTTCAATCCCAGGCACTCAAACAAACAAAAAAAGAATTGAATCAAGATGGTGGAGTGATTATATGACTGCACATTCCTTCACCCTGAGATTTCATGAAAACATAGAAGTTACCTTAAAAAATATATAAAGGCTGGGGTTGTAGTATAGTAATAGAGTGCTTTCTGAGCACATTAGGCCCTGGGTTAGATTCCCAGCTCTGCCAAACAACAATGAAATAAAGAATGTATTGTTAATTCTGAAAAAGAAAAAAAAGAATACTATTGCAGGCTGGACATTTTTAAAAATTCCTGAAAAGAATGGGTCCTGGGGCTGGGGTTGTGGMTCAGAGGTAGAGGACTTGCCTAGCATGCGTGAAGCACTGGGGTCAATCCTCAGCACCACATACAAAAAATAAAATAAAGGTACTGTGTCATCCTACAACTAAAAATGTAAATGGGTCCTTTGATTACAACACTGTCATAAAAAGGAGAACATAAACAGTAGCAAAAGTATTGGTTACTTGAACTTTTTAGGAAGTTTCTTTGAGCTGGTAAGAAAGCAAAGCCTCCTAAGACAAACTCAATAACGAAAGCAGGAACCAAACAGAACATCCAAATGGTTTAGACTTTTTTTTTTTTTTTTTGATACCAGGAACTGAACATAGGGGCACTTAACTACTGGGGCACTTAACCACTCCTGGCCCTTTTCATTTTGAGATAGGGTGTCGCTAAGTTGTTTAGGTCCTCATGAAGTTGCTGAGGCTGACTTTGAAGTCGTGATCCTTCTGCCTCAGCCTCTGGAGCCACTAGGATTACAGGTGTATGCCATGGTGCCCAGACAAGCGGTTTAGCCTGAAGAGGCACACCTAGCCCATCCTTTACTAATATAAGAACTCTTTTAAGAACCTGGAAATGAGGGAGAGCAAAGAGAAAAACACCTTTCCAATAGAAACAGCAAGAGGAATTATCTTGACCTTGGGTTTGGTGGAAGGGCTAATGTCTTTCCTATCAATCATTACAGCAAGAAAGGAACCAAGCAGATTTACTGTCTAAACACGTATGGGTTGAAAACCTAAAGTCTAGAATTTAAAAGTAGTCCTAGCAATGGGGATGGAGCTCAGTGGCACAGTGCTTGCCTAGAATGCACTGGCCCTGGGTTCCATATCTAGTACCACAAAAAGAAAAAGTTATCCTAGGTTGGTAGTACAAATACTCTATGAGGTAATATACTTCAAGGTATGTATAGATACTTGAACTGTCATAGCTACAATTCTAAAATACATTGTTACAAAACCATAAATCACTTAAGTAAACAAAACACAGATCTAGTAGAAATGGTGGGACACATCCGTAGTAAAGATTTCAGACTTGAAAATTAATCAAAGAATATAAAATAATCCTAAAAGAGAATAAAAAGAATGACCAAAGACCAATGACCAAAGAATCACCATTTATATAAACCATAGAATTGGAAAATCTTTTTAATATGTAGATCTCATGCTAAATTTCTCCAAGAATTTGGTAAAACTGGAAATGTTAGAAACAAATTAGCTTCTGCTTTCACTTATTAGATAAAAATAAGTCAATGTGCTTTCTTTTCTATTGAAATTTCCAGGAAGATTACTAACCACGCACTCACACAAGGTAACTGAAACAATTGTTTTTCCATTGCTTTAAATCAATTTTGTTGTTTTAATTTTAAAAAATGTCTGTTTTACATGCTTTTTATACTTTGGGAGTTGGGGGTGTGTGTGCTGAGGATTGCATTCAGGGCCATGCACATACATAGCAAATGCTCTACTACTGACTATATCAACTCCTATAATTTTAAAAAGACCTTGAATAAAAAAAGGCAAACAGAAATACTCACAGTTCTACACTGGTCTATTTTTCCTGATAAAATCTTCAGTCCTTCCAATACTATCAACCCGGCAATCACTGCATTAGTAGTAGCAATAGCAGGAATAATGTTCCCTGCCATTGCTGTGGGGGGAAAAAGATGAACATGTTTAGCTGTTAAAAAAGAAAAAACAACTTTGAGGTTTTGATGATACAAATGAAATACAAAACAACTTACATTTTATATCAAACCTGCTCTTCATATTCATACTGAAAATATGCATCCTGAGATTTGCAGCAGAAGTGACAAAATCCATTGCAGATGGGTCATCCTGCCAATAATATAAATTATTTAACAAGTCTTCCCATGAACTCACTAGCTTGACTAGTACTACTTTCACAAGAGTACCTTCACATATGTATAATATTGTAGACAATTAACCAGAACAAGAGGTAGTCACGAAAGAGAGGCTACTCTCAGGTAAGTAGCATGGAGATTGGATAAAAGGGACAGGGGCTTATGACTTCTGGTCCAGGAATACAGTCAAAAAAGAACATCAAGAACTACCTTGCTTCTAGGAGATTGCTCATGCTTAAACAAATGCACTGGGGACCAAGTACATAATACACCAGAATCCCAATTCCATTAATTGATGATGGCAACCCTTTCCTGGGTTCACTAGTTAGTAATGAGATAATTGCTGGACAAGCACAGAATCCAGGCAAAGACACAGGCTGTTTGACAAAACTGTTTCATTAAAGTCTCAGAAAGACCTGGACTACTACTTTGGGCTCTCCTCCTCCAAACTCCCTTCATAGATACACCACTCACCCATATGTGCTGTGTCTTCAGATAACGAAACATGATCAAAGTTTTCTCTTTATAATTTGCATTTTTCTTGAGGCCATATCCTAGACTCTTTAATTAGATTTCGGTAAGGCTTTCTGCTTTGAATTAAGAAGATATAACAGGATGGAAGAAAACATTTTGGATATGCCCTTTTTACTAGCAATACCCTGTGTAGAATTCTTCAGTGTACAAAACTAGAGCTGAAGGAGTCAGCTCTAGTTCAGTGGATCTGCTGAAAAAGGACTTAACCAAGCCATGTTAATATTTTATTCAGCCTTTGGGTCACTTTTCAGCTAATAAGGATGACCACCCTTAAAGAAAAATGCTATTTTTGCATGGGCCAGAGTAATTCCTGGAGCAAAGGCTCAGAGTTTAACGTTTGTTTATCACCATATACCTAGTTCATCTCCAAATTCAAAATGCTACTCCCTGTCATGACTGTTTCTACTTCTATTTTCTGGTAAATTCTTGAGTTGAGATGTAACTGTCTCTCTCTCTCTCTCTCTCTCTCTGTAAGAAGATGCTTTTTTATTCTTAAAGAAAAAAGAAAAAGAGCTGTTAGGAAGTGAGTTCCTTCATGTACTTATTAACTGGCGGTGCAACTTCAGACAAATCAACCTTCCTGAGCATCTCACAAGGTTGTGCTAAGGATGAGTAAGAATATTTCACATTGTCAATAGTGTGCATGAGGAATTTCCGAGGCAACTGGCTTATGATACCCATTAGGTATCAAAAGGACTTTACCAAAGAAGATAACAATTCTCATCCAAAAGTTCCCTTTTTTAGCCCCTGTGACAGATTAAAAAAGGAAAAACTTTCCAAATATCTAGAACAATGAAAATATTTGAAAAACTACCCTTAGTATCATGTAAACCAAAAAGATTAATGTATAATGGTGCACATCTATAATTTCAGTGACTCAGGAGGCTGAGGCAGGAGGATAGCAAGTTCAAGGCCAGACTGGGCAACTTAGCAAGATCCTTCCTCAAAATTTAAATAAATAAAACAAAATAAAAACAAAAAACGATTGGGAATGTAGCTCAGTGGTTGAGTGCCTCTGGATTCAATCCTGCAACCATAAAATACAAACAAAAAGCCTCAAGAGCTAGGTGCAGTAGTGCATGCCAGTAATCCCAGCGACTTGAGATGCTAAGGCAGGAGGATAGAAAATTCAAGGCCACATTAAATGATATTACATATTTTAGAAAATCTGAAATTGAAGACTCTTAAAAAAAAAAAAAAAGAAAGAAAAGGAAAAGAAAAAAGAAAGTGTGAGGCCAGCCTCAGCAACTTAGAGAGGCTCTGCCTCAAAAAGAGCTAGGGATACAGCTCAGAGGCAAAGCATTCCTGGATTCAATCTCCAGTAATACCCCCCACCTCCAAAGACCTCAAGAACTTAAATTTACCAGCTTTATTTTAGGTATCTGATTAAACAAAGTTCCAAAATTTGTGCACAGAAAGGTATCTTGGATTTCTAAAACTGGTCTGACTCTTTTAAAAYCCCCTGACTACAATTAAAATTAAGTAAAATGAACTCAAAATACAATATCTAACTGCAGAGCACTATTAAATATTATTTTTTAACTTTAAGAATTATCTCATTTTTTATACTGAGAAGTATTTCTCTTAAATCTCTGAATAGCTATATCTATTTCAATAAAAAGGCAATTTTATTACTTTCTAGATCAAATACACAGCCAATGAGCTGTCATTTTGAAAAGATTTCATGATCACTTTAAATAAGTCTGTATTATACAGAATATTAAATCAATAAAACATTTCACTAAAAATTCACATTATTTTTCTAGTCAACATAATTATAAATGTATTCCTAGAATCTAAAATAAAGTTTTATTACACTGCTCAAACTTATTTATAGAAAACTCACACTTCAAAAGTGGAGGGCTGGGGTGCAGCTCAGTGGTACAGCACTTGCTTGCCTAAGCCTTGGGTTCAATTGCCAGTAATGTCAAAAGAAAAAAGAAGAATCTGACAAATATAGTAACTAGAGATGAAAATATCCATACCAAATTACAGATATTTCCTCAAAATCTGATAGAATAAATGATATCTAAAAAACAAAGAAAAAATACTAGTTGCTATTACAGATTAAGAACTATATACATCAGATACATAAGCAATAGATGATACTCATTTTTAATACTAACCTTATCCCATATGAGCTCAGCTCCATCTCCTTTTTCTGCTAAATGAACTCTCAAAGTCTCAATGCTCTTTGAAAAAAGACTTGCATAGCTCTTTACATCTAGAACCTGCTGGTCTTTCAGACCTAGCTGGGGTTCACTTTGTTGATCTGATGGATTGGATTCTTCTCCTCAAAAAAAAAAATAAAATAAATAAATAATAATTACAAATTTCAATAAGCATCATTTCTCTAATGTGCTCTACATAATAAATTCAATCCTACACCAATTCTTATTAGTCTACATATAAAGCAAATCTCATTAAAATTATATCACTACAGTACAAGTATCTGTCCAAGAAAACTGTTAAAACTGATAGAAAAAGTACAAGGCCATCAGGACTTGCATTACTGGGGGATTCATGGATATAACAGAGATGATAAGCATTATGCCTAGTACATAGTTATCACTCAGTAGATGGAAGCTATTGAATCATACTTCAATTTGCCCAGTAAATTAAGCATCTTATATTGTTGAAAACTGCTTCAAAGGGTGACTAAAATCTCCAGGGATCTTTTAAGTTCCAGTGTGCTCTACACTGCTGTGCAATACTACAACACAGTTCACATGAATTAGAACCACAATGTGTCAATGAAGAATGGAATAAGGAAGTGGTCACTAAGTTTCCTTCATTTAAATTTTTTTAAAAATATGTTTTAAATCTAAAAAAAAAAAAAAAAAAAAAAGACAATTACAGAGGTACGAAGAAAGATAGATGCACATATAGATGCACTCTGTTTCAGGGAACATAAGAAGCAACTACATATTAATCAACAAATGACTAGTTAAATAATACTGACTGAAAAAAGCAAGCCAAGAGTATAAAAACAGTGTTTGGCATGGTGGTGCATACCTGTAATCCCAGCTACAAGAGAAGCTAAGGCAAGAGGACTTCAAGTTTGAGGCCAGCCTTAGCAACTCAGTGAGACCCTTTCTCAAAATAAAACACAAAAAGAACTGGGGATGTAGCTCAGTGGTAAAGTACACCTGGGTTCAATCCAGTATCCCCCTGCAAAGCATATACAAATAATATGACTCCATTTATGTAACGTGTACATACATGACTACTTGTATCTGTATGCACAATTAAGGTGATCAGAACATTCCTTAAAATATTAATAATGACTATTTCTCAATGTGAGTATAGATCTAATGATTTTTCTTCTTCATGTTATCTGAACATATGAACATAATTTCGAAAAAAAAAAATACAGTACTTAAACATTTTTGGTGAGGTAATTTCTAGTTTAGGTATTCCAAAAAGTAAAACATATTTTTTAAGTGTAAGATGGAATGGAGAGTTTAATTCTTTCTTAAAATATTTTATAAACTTATTTACAAACTTATTTTTTTATGATGCTGAGGATCGTACCCAGTGCCTCACACATGCCAGGCAAGCRCTCTACCACTGAGCCATAGCCCCAGCCCGGATTAAAATGTATTTTTTTTTTACCTTGACTCTGTACTTCAGCCCAGTCCAATGGAACAGGTGGTTTCCTTTTCCGCCATAGTTTATCCATTGTCAATAGATACCTGATATCATCTTTAAAAAGCTTTAAAAAAGAAAGAAAAGATAAATCCCATGAGCCCTACAAGTCCCAAGTTGATAAAATACATTAAAATTTCATTGATGATTTACTGTGAAATCTGATTTAAAAACACATGTCAAAGCCAGGTGCAGTTGGTAGCACATGCCTACAATTCCAGCAGCTYAGGAGGCTTAGGCAGGAGGATGCCAAGCTTCAGCAAAAGGGAGGTGGAGGTGCTAAGCAACTCAGTGAGACCCTGTCTCTAAATATAATACAAAAGAGGGCTGAGGATATGGCTCAGTGGTCAAGTGCCCCTGAGTTTAATTCCCGGTACCAAACAAATAAAACAACAACAACAACAAMAAAAAAAACAATCCACAAAAACAAAACAAAACAAATCACACATGTCAAATGCAAGCAGAGTAACAATTTTCAAAAGCCATTAAAAAAATATTCAAATGTTTACACAGAATCCCTACATGTAAAATAGTTAAAACCAGTAAAACAGTTAAGGGCAGAAGAAGTTAAGTGAGGATAAGGAAATGCTGACTGCCTGAACCTCCTGAACCACCTCCCCCAAAGTTCCCCTAAAACTCCAAAGTTCAGTCTGAAGCAAAATCATACAAATTAAAGGGATTAATAAACACTATCAATAAACTACAAGAATTGAATACAACTACTGATACTAGAGAATCAGGTGAACAATATCTTCAAGTTCATGGATCCAGGCCAATAAAGCACATATATTCTAGAACAACTCAATTACAGAATTTCTGTAACATCTCCGAAATGTGCCTTCCCCCTTCTAAAATATTTAAATGTGCAAAAAATAAATAAATAAATAAAAGTTAAAAGGAGGTACAAAATCCCCAAACACACAATTACTATAATAAAACACTATCACATATAGACTAACAAAAAACAAAAGTAGTAGGATTTCAGGTGTTTTAATTATTTTTACTTTTTCCTTATCATTGTTCTCTCCATCTCTCTTTCCCTTTTGTAGTGTGAGCAATGAGACCCAGGGCTTCCCACATACTAGGGAAGTGCTCTTGGGAACAGGGGCATCCCCTTAAAACCTTTTTCTATTTGTGATTAACTTATTCAATACATTTACTGAAGGTACCAGGTAAGAATGTACCTTCAGCTAAATTGAAATATCATAAAAATTTCTATCAAAGCCACTCATCTTTAATCTTTGGAAAACAAGCTAAATATATAAACAATGACAATATTTAGTAGGAAAGTCACGAAGCTGAAAACCATGAGGATTTTTGTTTTACCTACCTAAGGCATAGAAAAATACAAGGTAGATAGTAACATTTTAAATGAGTACACAGGCAAGAAGTTAAGTTCATTATGATATGATATGGGTAGCACATGAGGCTAAAAACAACTTGTAGCCAGGCGTGGTGGTGCACACCTGTAATCTCAGCGGCTTGGGAGGTTGAGGCAGGACGATTGCGGGTTCAAAACCAGCCTCAGTAACTTAGTGAGGCCTTAAGTAACTCAGCGAGACTGTCTATAAACAAAATACAAAAAAGGGCTGGGGATGTGACTCAGTGACTGACTGCTCCTGAGTTGAATCCCTGGTACCAAAAAAAAAAAAAAAAAAAAAAAAAGTAAAGGATACTGAACATTTGGCTGAGAAAAGTCTGCCAGACAAGAGTCGTCCTTCCGGCTTTTGCATTATTCCATCATCTCTGATACATCATGCTCATTTCCATTAATTAAATCCAATCTATAAACTTGGATCCCAAACACATCTAAACCTCCTACTTACCTATAGAACAACTTGTCATTGCTCTGATGGTCGAGAGCAATCAGTTCAAAACTGACTGTATTACCTTCTCCTATTCCCCCAACCCCCACATAAATTTACTTTCTGCCTCACCCGTCCATTCTATTCACCAGCCCAATGAGAAACCAGGTTATCTTTCCAGATTTCTCACTGTATACATCCAAAGTCTTGTTGAGTCTACTTCTCCATGCTCCACTGTGAATACAGATGGCTTGTACCTTGTATTACTTTGGCACTGCACAAAACCATGGGTACTGACTCATATTAGTTACAATATGAATATCGAGTTTTAGAGTGGTACACTACATCCCCCTCCATGTCTTTACAGTGATCCTACAAGACATGCTCTCAATAAATTCCCACTGGTGCAGTATAACATCCTTAACACAGCCTAGAAAGCCTTGGCTAACCTGTTGTTACCTTGACTTTGTTATCCCTTTCCACTCTCCCCTTGAACAGGAATGATTTCAGTTTTTCAATTTAGAAGTTTTGTACATGTTGCACTTCTATTCCCATCCTTATTCTTTCTAGTCTTGAGTTTAAATGTCACCTCCTCTAGAAAACCTCTTTTGAACCTGTTGGAACTCAGGAATTCAAAATCATCCAAACTTAATATCATTAAACACTGAATCTGGAATTAATTGTTCACTGTTTGATTTCCTATCTACAGCAGGGTGTTCTTGTGTCTTGTTCACTCCTAAGTCCCCAATACTTATAGAAGTGTCCAACACAAACAAGATGCTTAAATTTACCTGCTCAAGAAGAGACTGTAGATGTACACAGATTATTCTGGTATTCAAATGTTGCTCAGATTACAATGAAAATAAGTGTTAAGAATACTATTAATGCTGTCCACATCAGTGTTTAGTGCATTTAAGTATATCAGAAATAAAAACAAGGCTGGGGATGTGCTCAAGTGGTAGCGCACTCGCCTGCATGCGTGTGTTCAATCCTCAGCACCACAAACAAAGATGTTGTGTCCGCCGAAAACTAAAAAATAAATATTAAAAATTCTCTCTCTCTTTTTAAAAATAAATAAATAAATAAAAACAATTTTTCGAGAAAAAGGCTTTGTGATAAAATAAGCGTTGACAGGCTTAAGAGAGAGAACCTTTCTTAACATACGGAAGTGAATATAAGTTGGAGTGAGCAGTAGCCCATTTGCTTAAGATAGTGGGACCTATGCATATTGTAAATAGACAGAAGGAGCCAACAAAGATCCAAGACACAAAGCAGAGGAGAAAAACTGTTTGAAGAACAAGGTATAAAGCCAAAGAAAAATGCCCTCTGGAAAAGTCTGCCTTTACCAAAAGAGGTTTATTTTCCACAGGAACAAAAAGATAACAGCTTGCAGTCAAGTGAGATATTCTCAACAGTAGGTAAATTATGTCCAATGGCTACAAACCTCTTACTATAAGCTTAAGACCACGTCCTTAGGGTGGCAAGAATGCATTAGAAAATTTAAGAAAAACTGAGAAAGTTTCAAGTATCTACTGTAATAATTTGCCACAGAGTCAAAGAAGAAAAAATAGAAAAACTTAGAACTAAGGGCCTAGCTGAGCAATACTTAGGCAGATTCAATTTTAAAAGCCTTGTAGAGCTTTCTAGAACTATCCTGCATATTAAACTGATGAGAAAAAGCAATTTAAGATTCAAGGGGGATTTAGAACATATCAAGTCAAAACTGCTAACAGATGATTTGAATAAGAAGAGATAAAGGGATTAAACCAAAATTGTTTATAAAGAAAACCAACTTCTGTAACAGCAAAAGAAGACAACAAAGAGGGGGACAGAAGCAAGCTTCTATATTTACCTCCTGGAGAGATACTAAACTGATATTTAGTATAGGCATTAAAATTTTCAAACTTGCATGTGCTGACTACATCAGTCATTTTGTTAGGACGTTAGCATACATGTACAAAAAAGTTTAATTCAATTCTATGTATTGGTTTAAAACAAACACAATCAGATTAATAGATCTATCCACAATTATAAAGAAAATAAACCTAGGCTGCCTATAATCTCAGCAACTCAAGAGGTTAAGACAGGAGGATCACAAGTTTGAGACCAGCCTCAGCAACTAACCAAGGTCCTAAGCAAGTCAGTGAGACCTTGTCTGAGAATAAAATATGAAAAGGATTGGGGCTGTGGTTCATGATAAAGTACCCCTAGGTTAAATCCCCAGGGGAAAAAGAAAAAAAAAGTAAACCTAACCTTGGTAAAAAGTTTAACTGGATCATAACCAGTTGATTTTGCCCATTCCTTTGTGGAAATACGTTTTATGTCACCATCTTCATTTGATGCTCGAGCTCTGGCTTCAGCTTCTGTTGGTTCCCCTATAAGACAATAGTATTTTATTTTCAGTGTAAAACTGAGCTCTTACATGTGGGGGGAAAATGTCACTCACAGAAGTCACTCAAAAGCAACACATTCTAAGTTCAAGAAGAAAGGAAAATAAAAAAGTTATCAGCATCTTTTTGTGCCTCCCTTGAAGGTCACATGTATAATAGTTGAAAGAATGCTCCTGGGAACAACTCCTAACTGATACAGTTCCCTCTATCCTTTTGGTAATCACTGTTTTAAAGTTGAAACAACATATTTTAAGAACATAAAAAAAACTATCACTTTTCTCTTAAGCTACCAATGTCAAAYTAACAAAATAAAGACAGCAGCCACAATAAGAAAATACGTCGAGGGGCTGGGGATGTGGCTCGCCTAGCACATGTAAGTTATGCTAGGTTCGATCCTCAATACCACATATAAATAAAATAAAGATATTGTGTCCACCTACAACTAAAAAATATTTTTAAAAGAAAAGAAAATGTGTCAAATAGTTTACTCACATGCAGCTTCAGGGTCAGCTCTATCAGGTGACACTTCCTGATCAGCATCTTCTTCCCCAAACAATTGGCTGTTAAATTTAAGAACAGTAAGTAGTTATGAACATCAAGAAATTCTGAGCAAATGTAGTTAATTGTCCTACTTTTTTTTTTAAATAGATATTCCAGAATCCCAGAACAGCGTTTATTTATTTTGTTTATTTTTATTTTTTTTGTGGTGCTAGGGATTGAACCCAGGGCCTTGTGCATGCAAGGCAAACACTCTACCAACTGAGCTATATCCCCAGCCCATAATTTTCCTATTTCTGTCACAAACAACTAATTCAGAATATTTAATGTTTAGCAGGGATAAACAGTGAACAATGGATAAAATGCATTCCATAAACCTATGAGCATTGAAACAATCTGTTTAAACAGTTTGCATGCTAACATTAGCCACAACACAAATATGACCAAATTTTAGTAGATTCTAGTGAATAGCTTTTATATCCCTCTGGAGATACCATTTAAAAAGTGTACTGCATTTAGTTGTTCAACATTATGTTCTAGGTGGGGAAATTCAACAGTGAAGATCCTTTTTTAGTGGTATTATTTATCTTTATGCACGATATTTTAAGAAATAATAGAAAATTATTAAGCTGAGATTCTCCTTTATTACTCAAGTTATCCTAAAAACTGTTTAATAACTCTTATGGACATAAAACTTTCCAATCTTTCCTCAAGGATATGACTTAGGTTATAACCTTCTTCTGATTCATTTTATAAGAAAATGCCCTTTGGTTGAATCAATTTAAGTCCCAACAATGGTGGTCTGAGAGTTCCTATTGATTCACATCGTCTCTAGACTTAATGCTTTGTCAACTAGTAAGTGTAAAATTTATCTAGCTGTGTGGTCTTATGTTTAAATTTGTACATTAGCTGTAGGGTTAAACATATTTATTTATGTGTTGCTTGTTTGGATTTCCCTTTAAGGAAAAAAATGCCTGATTACCATTCCTTATTGATTACATCTTGCTTTTATTCTAGATCACAAATCTTTACTCCTTGGGGCTGGGAATGTGGCTCAGGCGGTAGTGCGCTCCTCTGGCATGCCTGCGGCCCGGGTTCGATCCTCAGCACCACATACCAACAAAGATGTTGTGTCCGCCGAGAACTAAGAAATAAATATTAAAAAAAAAATTCTCTCTCTCTCTTTAGGAAAAAAAAAAAAAAATCTTTACTCCTACACAATGGCCCGTTATTTAATCCATCATATAACATCTTTTGATGACAAAAATACTTAATGGATTTGAATGTTTCAATCTTTTGTTTTAGCGTTAAGAACTTGTCTTAAGAAAATTGTTCCCTAATCCTAAGGATGAAGATGTCTTCCTATAAGGCTTAAAGTTTTTCCTATTACACCTAGACTTAATCTTTTTTTTAGAAAAAAAATTTTTTTTAAAGAGGTGAGAGAGAGAGAGAGAGAGAGAGAGACAACGAGAACTTTTTGATATTTATTTTTCAGTTTTTGGAGGACACAACATCTTTGTTGGTATGTGGTGCTGAGGATCGAACCCGGGGCGCACGCATGCCAGGCGAGCGCGCTACCGATTGAGCCACATCTCCAGCCCCTAGACTTAATCTTTTAAAATATTTTTTTTAGTTGTAGATGGACACAATGCCTTTATTTATTTTTATGCAGTGCTGAGGATTGAACCCAGTGCCTCACACATGTGAGGCAAGCACTCTACCACTGAGCCACAACCCCAGCCCCTAGACTTAATTTTAATATATTGCTTCATAAAAAAATTTCCCACAAGGATACCAACTTCCCTACTTTTTACTTAATCTATTCTTTTCAGCTCATATATACATATATGTGTATGTATCTATACACACGCGTATAAAATACTGTCATGAAATATATAATCTGTTACAATGACCTGTTTATCCCTACACTAGGAACATACTAATTAATTTTAGTTTATATTAAATCATGATATCTGTTATAGCAAATTACTCAAATTATTCTTCCCTGGGAATGTTTTGGCTCCTTAGGTTCTTTTCTTCCATATATCATCAACCAGTCCGTCTATTTATTGGTACTGGAGATTGAACCCAGGGGCACATCCCCAGCCCTTTTTTATTTTTTGAGACAGGGTCTCTCACTACATTGCTAAGGGCTTTGCTAACTTTTTTGTGGCTGGCATTAAACTTGTGACCCTCCTGCCTCGGTCTCCTGAATTGCTGGGATTACAGTGTATGCCACCATGCTCAGCTCCACATGAGTTTTGTGTGTGTGTATGTAATAAGTACATATGTATGTATTATGTGTGTGCTAGGGACTCAACTCAGGGCCTTGCACATGCTAAGCATGTACACTACCTATCATTGAGCTACATACACCCCAGACCCCCCACAAGCATTTTAAAATCAGCTAAATAAGTTTCAATAAAATCCCTGATGAGATTTTAGTTGGCATTGCACTGAATCTATAATTTGGAAAAAAATGACAATATTGGGACTTCCAATTCAGTCTCAGTCTCTTCTTTGGTATGGTACTAGGGACTGAAACCAAAGGTGCTCTCCACTGAGCCACATCCTCAGCCTTTTTTATTTTTAATTTTGAGATATAGTCTCACTAAGTTGCTGAGGTAACAGGCGTGTGTCACTGTGCCTCCTTTTCTCCTTTCATTATGTTACCTTCTTTTATTTCCAACAGTCATTTACTTACTGTATTGGGTCTTATACATCTTAAGATTCATTCTCAGGTACTTTATCCTGTTTTATGTTTTTATACTTAATTATCTGTTATGATTAGTTATATATGTATATATTTCTCTATTCTTTTGCTCTATTCTGTTTTTTTTTTATTTATTTTTTAGTTTAGGTGGACACAATATTTTTATTTTATTTTTATGTGGTGCTGAGTATCGAATCCAGTGCCCCATGAATGCTAGGCAAGCACTCCACCACTGAGCCACAACCCCAGCCCCTCTTATCTTTCTCACACTAAGTTGCCCAGGTTAGTCTGGAACTCCTATTCTCAAGTGATCCATATTGTTCTCCGGAATAGTTGAGACTACAGAGGACTACTGCTATCAGACCCAGCTTAGTTTATCTACTTTTAAATTACATTTTCTAAATACTTGATGTTGCATATAGAAATGCAGCATTGGTAAACTAATATTTCTAATCATTTGTCTATAGATTCTTTATAGAGTTTTCTATGTAGACAACCAACTTATTGCATGCAAATGACCAGTTTGTTTTTTCCTTTCCCTCCTTTGAGACAGGGTCTTTCTATGTTGCCCAGGATGGTCTCAAATTCCTGGACTCAAGGGATAGGTGTATATCACTGTGTCCAGCTCCCCAATGTTTTTTCAGTGTTGGGGATTGAACCCAGGGTATCATATATACTAGGCAATCACTTTGCCAGTGAACTATATACCCCAGTTCCTTTCTCAATTCTTAAGCCAATATTTTCCTTTTCTTATTGTGCAGGCTAAGCAGTAGAATAACCAAATAGAAGCAGCAATAATGGGCATCCTTTTCTGAACYGTCACTTCAAAACACTTTTAAAATGAAAGGAAAGCTTACACTAAGTACATGGAGGGCAAATGTGGGAGCAAGGTTTTGAACAATCTGGGAGTTTACACACCAAGAAGCTAAAATGCTTCATGTAGTAACGAACTACAGTTTAACATGAACTCATGGTTAAAAATAGATATATAGAAACCTTCAGAGACTTATATAAACATTTATTTTCTGTTATATCAGCTAAGAGGGCCTAAAACAACACCCCAGTTGCATGCCTACACAGACTTGATTTTATAAAATCACTGTTCAATAAAAGAAACTAGGATTCAAGAGAAATGGCTTGGGCTAGGGCTGTAGCTCACTGGCAAAGTGCTCTGCTAGCATGAGTGAGGAGGCACTGGGTTCAATCCTTAGCACCACATAAAAATAAAGGCATTTTGTCCATCTACAACTATAAAAAAATTACGAGAGAGAGAGAGAAAGAGAGAAATGGCTTATTCTAGGAGCCGGAAACATAAAATATTTCTGAAACATCTTGTACAGCCAGAAATTAAGGAACTACTTAAAATAGTCACACATTGATGAGGGTACATCAAAAGAACACAGAGCCAACTGCAAGAACTCCCAAGAGCCAAAGCTAGAACAACTTGAGCAACAAAATAAAGTAATATTGAATTATAACCCAAAGAAAAAAAATATATTCAATGTTAACAAGTACACATAGATATAAATGACTGAATAAATAATAATTTAAGGGGGAGCAGAGCCATGCATGGTGGCACAGGTCTACAGACCCAACTACTCAGGAATCTAAGACAAGARAATCACTTGAGCTCACAAGTTCAAGAGCAGCCTGGGCAACATAATAAAACCCTGTCTCAAAATAAAAGATATGGCTGAGTGGCTAAACACCCCTAGGTTCAATCTCTTGTATCAAAACAAACAAATAAACAAAAATAAAATGTACAATATGGAAAGAGGAAGAAAAAAATTACAGTGGGGAAACCTATCAGCAAGGTTACCAAGGCCAATATCAACAATCATCAACCATATTGATAGCCTATGCCCCCTGCTATGGATTTAAAATGGCACTCAATCACTGATCTCTCCCAATAACCCATAATCCCAGTCTTATCATGACAAAAACATCAAATKCTAATAGTAGGGCATCCAACAAAGTACCTGACCAGTACTCCTTAAAACTGTGAAGGTTGTCAAAAACAAGGAAAAACTAAGGAACTGTCACAGCCAAAGAGTCTAAAAAGACATAAAAGCCAATTGTAATGTGGTATCCTGGATGGGATCTTAGAAAATAATATTGGGGGCTGGGGCTGTGGCTCAACGATAGAGCACTCTTCCCGGATATGTGAGGCCCTGGGTTCAATCCCCAGTACCACATAAATAAAATAAAAAGATATTGTGTCCACCTACAACTAATTAAAAAAAAAGAAAATAATATTGGGTAAAAAACTAAAGAAATCTAAAAAATAAGGGACTTCAGTTAATAATGAGGTTTTTATTTTTTTGTACTGGCAATTGAACCCAGGGGTGCTTAACCACTGAGACACATCCCAAGCCCTGTTTTTATTAGAGACAGGGTCTCGCTGATTTGCTAAATGCCTTGCTAAGTTGCTGAGACTGGCTTTGAATTTGCAATCCTCCAGTCTCAGCTTGCTGAACTGCTGGGATCATAAGTGTGCGCCACAGTGCCTGGATCAATACTGGTTTTTACCTGTTATGTATATATTGTACTAATATAAAATGTTAATGGGGGAATGAGGTATGAGAATACTTCGAAACTCTGTACTATCTTCTCACTTTTCTGTAAATCTCAATCAGTTCTACAAACAACTGCCAAATAAAGAAAGTTTGAGTGGGTTTTTTTTTAAATATTTTTAGTCATAGACAGATCAAACCCAGTGCTTCACACATGCTAGGCAAACGCTCTACCACTGAGCTACAACCCCAGCCTTGTTTTGTTTGTTTGTTCGTTTTGTTTTTGAGACAGAGACAGAGTCTTGCTATGTTGTTGAGACTAGCCTTGAACTTTTTGATTCTCCTTCCTCAATTTCAGGAATAGCTGGGATTAAAGGCAGGCACCACAATGCCTAGAGAGTTTATTTTTAGTGAAACTTTATCAGATCTACGTTTACTATATATGGATACTTTTCCAAATGCATATATATTGTACCTTTTAATTTATTTTTTAGTTGTAGTTGGATACAATATCTTTAGTTAATTTATTTATCTTTTTATGTGGTGCTGAGGATCGAACCCAGGGCCTCACCCGTGCTAGGCGAGCACTCTACCACTGAGCTATAACCCCAATCCCTTAATAAAAAATTAAAAAGATGGGCTGGGATGCAGCTCAGAAGTAGAAAGTTTGCCTAGCATATACAAGATCTGGGTTCCATTCCCAACACCGTAAAAAAATAAAAATAAAAACGCAGACAATGTTTGCTGCAGGTTTCTACAAGATACTCTTTATCAGGGTGAAGTAGTTCTGGTCTCCCATTTTACTAAGAATTTTTTTCCTGAGAAGGTGTTTAATAAATTTTATCAAATGTTCTTTTTTTATCTATGAAAATGATAGTTTCTCTTCACTTTTTTAAACAAGTGAATAACATTTATGGACTATCTAGTGTTAACCCATGTTTGCATTCCTAAATAAGTGCACTTTGTCATGGTATACTTTGTTTTATAATCCTATTGTCAAATGCTAATTTTTGTAAAACATTTTGCAACTCCCATCAAAGTACTAACCAGGCCCAACCCCACTAATCTCCCAAAATCAGATCAGATCCCATGACTTCAGGATGGTATGGCCTTGGCAGATTTTTGCATTTATATGAGTGAGACCATCTTATAATTTTCTTTTTCTTATACCATAATGGCTCTGACTGGTTTGGTATCAGAGACATGATGGTTCTGGGCTGGGAGTATAGCTCAATGATAAGAGTGTCTGCCACCCATTCCCCAACAACAACAAAGACGTGATAGCTCCTTAATATGAACTTTGCATTCCTTTTTAAAAAATTTCTTTAGGCCTATTTACCCCAAATTGGGATATTCCTTGAAAATACACTGGAATTCATATACTGTAAAGTAACATAGGTTTGATGCACTATTCAGAATATGCTACTAAATTTGTCCAAGGTATGCTGTATTCACTATTTTCTTTTTGGTACCAGAGATTGAACTTGGGGGCACTAGACCACTGAGTCACATCCCCAGACCTGTTTGGTATTTTATTTAGAGACATGGTTTCAATGAGTTGTTTAGTACCTCGCTTTTGCTGAGACTGACTGTGAATTCTCGATCCTTCTGCCTCAGCCTCCTAAACTGCTGGGATTACAGGCATGAAACACCAAGCCCAGCTTATATTTTCTTTGTAAGTCAGTTTTGTAAGGTTTTAAAAATCAGCTTATCTAGGGGCAGGGGATGTGGCTCACGGTAGAGTGCTTGCTTAGCACACACGAGACCAAGGGTTCAATCCTTAGCACCACATAAAAAAATAAAGATATTGTGTCCAACTACAACTAAAAAATAAAATATTAAAAACATCAACTTATCTAGACCATTAAAATCGTCAATGTATTAACATTTTCTTCTCCTTTTATCATCCACTTTTAATTTTTTAGCTTAGGGCTGGGGATGTGGCTCAAGCGGTAGCACGCTCGCCTGGCATGCGTGCGGCCCAGGTTCAGCACCACAAACCAACAAAGATGTTGTGTCCACCGAGAACTAAAAAATAAAAAATATTAAAAATTCTCTCTCTCTCTCCTCTCTTAAAAAAAAAAAAAAAATTTAGCTTAATATTTATTTATTTATTTTAGTTGTAGTGGACACAATATCTTTATTTATTTTTTACGTGGTACTGAGGATCAAACCCAGCACCTTGCACGTGCTAGCCGAACTCTACTGCTGAGCCACAACCCCAGCCCCCTCTTTTCTTAATATCAATCTAATCTAATCTGTGCTAAAATTCTGCTCTTTCCTATTTGATAATAAAACCTCCTAGGATTTTTATGCTCTTATTTCAACTATATCCTTCATTTTGTTATTATTTTAGTTTATTCTGTGGTTCATGTTCTCACTTAAATTGGATCCTTAGATCATTAATTGTTCAACCTTTCTTCACATATGTAAGCTTATAACTTTTCTTTCAACTACCATGTTCCATGAACCCTACTGAGTTTCAAGGTAGTATTTTCCACTATCATCACAAAGTTGTTTTGTGGTGCTAGCGATGGAATCCAGCGTCTTGTGCATGGTAGGCAAGCCCTCTACCCCTAAGRTATAGCCCAAGGCCCGTAAAGTTTTAACTCCATTGTAATTTCTTTTTAAACCAATGGGTTATTTATAAGTATGTTTTCATATTTCCAAATATACTTATTTGTATTTATTTAGTTATGTGCCTGTCTCCAATATCAGACTAAGCTTCTTAAATTGTCTTTGGCATGCAATGAATGCTGTCTGAATTTAATTTAACCCAAGAAATACCATAGGAAAGCTACTTAAGTGTCCTGTCACTGTATTTAACCATAAGTACAATCTTTGTAAGCTATTTAAATAAAAGTGATCTCATTTCCCATCATTAGTACTAAAAAGTATGTCCAGAAATACATATTCGCTTACTTGAACAAATACTTTGCCCAAACGATGCAATGAATAGGTTCTGAAGGTGTGTTACGAATTGTACAGCCAGGAAAAGTTCTCTGGGTTGGCTTAGGATGACATTCATAACACTCGGTCACACCCTACAAAATCAGGACATGAAAAAAATATTTATTTCAATGGTGGTTTTTCAACATTGTAACGTAATATAAACACTTCATTCCTTCACCTACATTCCTGTTTATGCTATCTAGAAAATTTTAAAATAATAATTTAATATTTAACAATATTTCAATATTTATCAACTCCAAAATCATTATTTTACAGATAAATAATCTCTTAATACAAAAGCTAATTAAATCAACCACAGTAACAGCTAAGAATAAGCCAGGACTCCTCTGACTCCTGGCCCAATGAACCTTACCYACATCAAACCAATAAAAATTATTCTACCTCAATGTCAAATAAGAGAAGTTTGTGTTGATTGTAAGAAACAGGAAAAAAAAAGCTACCAGAAAGACAAATAGCTTTCCTTGACAACAGCCCAAAGGTGAAAATTTATTTAGCATTATTCACAGCCATACCTTTAAAATCTCATAAAAATTATGTAAACTAAAAGTATTTAAGAGCTACCTAGAAACATGGAAAAAATCCTAGGTATTACCAAATTTCGCTTGTTTTTTTCACTGGCAATTCTAAACCTCAGTCCTATAATGCACACTGGTGTCTCAGGAGCACTGAAATGAGGTAAATAATGTCTTTCTAATTTATACTAAAGAATAATCCAGAAAATACTGTTTTAATATAAAATTATAGCAAATTCAGGGTTCCCCCACAACACTATTTCTTGTGCCCTTGACCCTGCAACATTCTTTCTTTAGAGGCATAGCCACAAGCAGTTATGCTGTGTTATTACCATGGAAAAAAATAGAACTACTGCCTTGATATATGAACAGACACTGAAAACCTCCATTTATTCAACTAAATTTAATACAGACTTAACAGGTACAATCATCTTTGTAGAATGATAATGAGTGTGCTTCCAATAGCACTATTTAATAGTTGAAATAAATTAAATACTAACACAGATAAACTGCCCCCATCCACAAAACAAATCCGATAAAATCTGAAAATCTTTCTTCTTCCCTTTTTGGTGTGGGTGTGTGCATGTGCACATGTGTGTTTGGTACTAGAGATTGAACCAAGGGATACTCTATCCAAGACCAATTATCTCCAACACTTTTTATTTTATCATGAGACAGGATCACACCAAGTTACCAAGGTTGGCATTGAACTTGTGATCTTCCTGCCTCAGTCTCCCGAGTAGGTGGTAATATAAGACTGTGCCACTGTGCCCAGCTAAAAATCCAAAAATTTTAAATACAGTATAAATAGTGAACCCAGGGGCACTTTACCAGTGAGTTATACCCTCAATTCTTTATTTTTTTTCTGAAACAGTCTCGCATATGTTGCCAAGGCTAGCTTTAAATTTGCAATCCTACTGCCTCAGCCTCCYAAAACGGCTAGGATTACAGGCATGGCACCACTGAGCCTGGCACTTCCTTTTCATAGTTTCAAAACTTCCCAAGYAATTCTCAAAATGTATTTATGTTTAACTCTTTAAAATAGCTAGAAGAAAAAAAGATCTGAACAGCAAATCGATCCCAATGTGGGGATTTTATAAAAATAGGTTATAAACACACAGGTATTTGCTCTAGTATACTTTAGTTTAAGTGTCTGAGATATTTTACAAATACACCCAAAACAGTTCTCTTCAGATCTCCACATCCAAATTCCTTAAGACAAAAAGTAACCCTCAAGACATTCCTTAAGACAAAATGTACTTAGTGATGGGGACTGATAATAAGCTCTACCATTAGGCCATACCTCCAGCACAAAAGGTAACTTCTAGAAGGGTGGTTTACCATTTCTCAACTACAGAACAAGGTGTAGTCTCTGCACTAAGAATTGTTTACCATAAATTTATTATGCTTGCAAGTCTAAGAATTTCAATGCATAAGTTTATTCAAACAAAGTAGCACAGATCCAAAAGATCTTTCCACCTATTGTCTTTTGGAGTATCTTATATAGCATCCTAATTTTGGGAGAATTAACCCATAGCTTCAAGCATCATCTTAAGTTTTATATGGCATGAAAATCCTTTTGTCTTGGATATTAACCTGCTTACAGTATATAAATCCAAAGTTTATTATTTATTTTCTTTCTTTCTTTTTTTTTTAGTATTGGAGATTGAACCCAGAGGTGCTCTATCACTGAACTACATCCCCAGACTTTTATATTTTGAGACAGGGTCTAAGTTGCTGAGGTTGGCTCTGAACCTGCATTCCTTCCTCCTGCCTCAGTCATCCAAAGCTAGGATTATAGGTGTGCACCACCAAACCAGGATCCAAAGTTTATTTCTTCCCTCCCTAAGGTCTCAAATAAATATTTGGAAAGTAAAACACAAAACTCTTCTTTACCTTTTTGATAGTAGTTACTTGTCCAAGATAACCAGCAGTCCCACTCTCAATAAGAGGAACGTCAGCTGCCAAACACATCCTATTAACATGGTTTCGTGCAGCTAGAAGAAAAATATTAGTTATCAAAAGAGTTTTTTTTAATATTTATTTTTTAGTTTTAGGTAGACACAATATCTTTCTTTTGCGTTTATGTGGTACTGAGGATCAAACCCAGTGCCTTGTGCATACTAGGGGAACACTCTACCACCAAGCCACAACCCCAGCCCCAGCAAAAGTGTTTTGAAAACACAAATTGGTTATCAATAACTACAATGAAATTTATCCATACCATTTCTCATTTTTATTTTATGTACAATTTTCTAATGGCTATGGCTAGAGGAATTATAAACATTCTAAGACTCATTAGCAACGTCATAAATTTACTATAAGCCAGGTATGGTAACATGTGCCTATACCTCAGCAACTGAGGAGGCTAAGGCAAGAGGATCACAAATTGGAGGACAGCCTCAGCAAGTTAGTGAGACCCTGTCTCAAATCAGAGGACTGGGGATATAGCTCAGTGATAAAAATGCATCCTTGAATTCAATCCCCAGTACTTTAAAAAACATAATAAAATAAAAAAATTTACTCCAGGAAAAGCATACCTAAAAACAATTTTTAAATTCTCAAATTCCAAAGTGCTAGGGCTGGGAGTGTTAGCCTGCTGAAGGTCCTGTGTTCATTCGATGCCCAGCACTGCAAAAACAAACACCAAGGGGCTGGAGCTATAGCTCAGTGGCAGAGCACTTGCCTAGCATATGTGAGGCTGATCCTCAGCACCATGCAAAAATAAACAAATAAAATAAAGACATCCTGTCCACCTACAACTACAAAAAAAAAAAAAAAAATCAAAGGGCTACCTTTCTCTTCTACTGCTGTACTATTCTACTGTAATTATAAGGTAATACATATAAGTAAATAAAGAACAATTAAGGCAGTTTAAGGTTAGGAGAGAAAAGATGAATCAGGTTAAAAGAGTCATTCAGGCTTTCAATGATTTTCTTTTGGTATTTCTGGCCTAAAATTATTACAAAACTTATTTGACAAATACTTTTACATGTGGAAGTAATTACAGGCAAGTAATATTCTTCAAATATTTCCCCCCACATTCCAAACACACAAACTATGACTGGTTATACAAAATTGGGTTATATGAAATACCATCCTGTGTTGCAAAAGGCTTGAATACGATATTAAAATGTGTACATTTCTTCAGGCRCAGTGTTGCACACCTATAATCCCCATGACTGAGTCTCGAGTTCAAATTCCAAGTTCAAAGCCAATCTCAGCAATTTAGTGAGACCCTAAGCAATAGCAAGACCCTGTTTCAAAATAAAAAGGACTGGAAATGGGGCCCAGTGGTTAAGTGTCCCTGGGTCAAATCCCCACAAACCCCCCCCCAAAATTATAATACAATCTAGGGGAGCCAGGTGTGGTGATACACACCTATAATCCCAGCTACTCAGGAAGCTGAGGCAAGAGGATCTTAAATTCAAGCTCACTCTGGGCAATGTAGCAGACACCATCTCAAAATTAGAAAACAAAGAAGGTGGGGATACAGCTCAGAGGTAGAGCACTTGCCTAGAATGTTTGAGGCCAAGGATTTAATTTCCAGTACCACCTTCAATCCAGTCTAGTGTCTTATATAGCACTGGATACACTAAAAATAATCGAAGGCCAGGCACAGTGGTATACACCTGTAATCCCAGCAACTCAGGAGGATAAAGCAAGACATCAAGTTCAAGGCCAGCCTCTGCAATTTCCTGAGGCCCTACAATTTAGTGAAACCCTGTCTCAAGATAAAAAATTAAAAAAGGCTGGAGATTTAGCTCAGTGGTAAAACACCCCTGGGTTTAATCCCCAGCACAAAGGAGAGGAGCTGTGGCTTTTAACTTTAGCACCCTATCATCTCATTCCCCAAACAATGAACTTTTATCCTTGATGGCACTTTAGAATTATCTGAGAAGCTTTAAAAATGCTGTTCAGTCCCCCTTATAGTGTTTTAACTGGTCTTTAACGAGACTTGGAGAGTCATTTTTCTTAGGTCCCCACACAAACAAAGTCACACTGTATTTAAAGTGTGCCACCAAGGAAACAAACTCATCCACATACACCCCTTTATTTACACCTTGTGGTTGATTAGTAAAGTATATATAATTGCTGAATTCCTGCCTGGAAAAAAAAATCATTTCTAGAAAAAATTGCAAGTGGCATGCTTTTTTTGTTTTGGGGTTTTGGTACTGGGAACTAAACCCAGGGGTGCTTTAAGACCGAGCTACAGGGGCTGGGGATGTGGCTCAAGCGGTAGTGCGCTCGCTTGGCATGCGTGTGGCCCGGGTTCGATCCTCAGCACCACATACCAACAAAGATGTTGTGTCCGCCGAGAACTAAAAAAAAAATAAATATTAAAAACTCTCCCTCTCTCCTCTCACTCTCTCTTAAAAAGACCGAGCTACATTCCTAGCCCTTTTAATTTTGACACAGAGTCTCACTAAATTGGTGAGGTTCTCACTAAATTGCTGAGGCTGGCCTTGAACTTGCAAGCCTCCTGCCTCAACCTCCTGAATCACTGGGAGCCCAATTGGCAAACTTTAAACCTGGTCTTACTTCCTTTTAGTTCTCTAAAGTTCTAACTCATAAAAAAATTTTAATACTAAATTTCTTAAAAGCTTTAATATGGGGAAGGGAAAATACAGGGATRTCAAAATAGTAAAATGATCTTACCTCTGTTATCTAATGCATTCATGACCAATATAAACTGTCGAAAAAATTCCACATTATAGTCTGGGCTACAAAGCAAAACAAAAAGATCAACAAAACCAGCCTTATATACAATCTTCACAGTATAATACAAAATTCAGAAAAGTGTAATAAAGTAACAACAGCAAAATATAACTGATGTTAAGAATATATACCATATAAAAGGGGCTTGGGCTGAGGTTCAGCCGTAGAGCACTTGCCTAGCACGTGTGAGGCACTGGGTTCAATCCTCAGCACCATATAAAAATAAGTAAAATAAAGGTATTGTGTCCAACTACAACTAAAATATATATTTTTTTTTTTTAAAAAAGAACATATACCATATAAAGTCTGACTTTTTCCAAACGTAAATAAATTAAAAAAAATTATTTCCCTCAAATTCCTATGCTTTTTGGCCAGCCAGCTCGGGCATAAGAATAGTATCTCAAACTAACAGAAAGATGGCATGACCTCACTAGTCCCACCAGGCCTTCTCAGGGCAGCCAAGTGCCTGGGAACATATAAAGAACACATTCCCAGGATCTGCTTGGCCTATGGCTTCACTCCACATGGTCCGAATCAGGCAGGACTCAGGCCCCTAGGGTCTCTGATTTTAGCACACTGGGAAAACAACACAGGATAAGAGGGTTATGGGGCTATAGGCAGGTCTGTAGACCAAACATCTTGAGGGAAAAAATAAGTTGAAAATACAAATGCCCTTATGAGAAAGCCTAGGGCTGTCTCTAATTCTAGTATCTCAAACAAATACTATTTGTGTGTATGTGTGTGTGTGTGTGTTGCTGAGGACTGCACCCAGGGCCTTGTGCATGCAAGGCAAGCACCCAACCAACTGCCCACAAACAAGGAGTATTTTTCATACCATTTACTTTTGAGCTAGACAGCAACTGTAGATAAAGGTTAACTTAGGGGATGGGGATGTGACTCCGTGGTAGAACACTTGCCTATCATGCCCAAAGCCCTAGGTTCAATCTCAGCACCACACACGAAGAAGAAAAAAAAGGTAATTTGTACCCAGAGTTTCTTTGTTCCATGCCTCCCACATTAAATATTTATTTATTTCATATATCATTTATATATTATCAAAATTACTGACYCACTATAATTCCCAGTGTTAAATTACCACATTAGAGTATTGATAAACAGATTATTTTGGACGGAAACCTTTTAAACTAAAAAAGCAACTGCTAAAATCAATCAGAATGAAATATACTTAAAYATGTCTGAATTATTATCTACAAGGAATTTTAAACATCTTACTTTGAGTGCAATGTCACACACCTACAATCCCAGCAACGTGGGAGGCTGAGGTTGGAAGATCATCAGTTTAAAGCCAGCCTCACCAACTTGGGGAAACCCTATCTCAAGATWAAAAAAAAAAAAAAAGGACTGGGGATGTAGGTCAGTGTAAAGCACTTCTGGGATCATTTCCTACTATAAAACAAGCCAACAAAAATATATATATAAGATCTTTCATAAGTGTCCAAGTAACTTATTTATTAACAATATTTAAATCTTATTACTTATCTAGATCATGTAAACATACATAAACTGGTAAAAAGAATACCACTTAACTTACATGGGCACAAACTACCACATTTTTATTATCCTAGAAAAATCTTTTTTAAAAAAGCATAATGATCTGGGCACACATATCTGGCTAATAAAAATAACATGCTTAAGCTTAGTTAAAAATTCACAGCAAATACAACTTCACAATATAGTAATTAGAGCATACTTCATGATGCTGTCATGGTAAGCTACAATATTAGCTTTCGGGTAAAACTGCAGTACACTTTCTTTGGCAACCTGGAAAACAAACAACAGTAAATTACTATAACATTTTTTAAAATATATATATTTGAAATGTACTTCTGGCAGACACAATTCTGGTAACTCACCTACTTACACAGTAGTCTTATTTATGTTAAACACTAACAAAATACAAAAGTGTGATAAAATTTCATTAAAATTAAACTCCATCATATTTATAAAACAGGACAACCTTCTCCTATACCATAGCACATCCACTTCTGTATGAATGGTAAGCCTCAAGAAAAACATAAAATGTGAGGATAGGGTGTAAATTAGTGATAAAGTGCTTAGGTAAGTAAGTACAGATAATACCTTAGGTTCTAGAAGGAAGGAAGGAAGGAAGGAAGGAAGGAAGGAAGGAAGGAAGGAAGAGAGGGAGGGAGGGAGGAAGGAAGAAAGGAAGGAATTATATACAGGGCTAGGGATGTAGCTCAGTGGTAGAGAGCTTGCCTAGCATGTGCAAAGTCCTGGGTTTAATTCTCAATACTGCAAAAAAATGAAACGAACAATTATGTATACTGCAAAAGCCAAGTGTCAATCAAAAGAAACCTTAAATAACCATCTAGACAAGTATAAATACAAACTACAATGATACACAAATGGTTGTTTTGAGTAAGGTGTAGTGGCACATGCCTGTAATCCCAGTGGTTCAGGAGGCTGAGGAAGGAGGATCTGGAGTCCAAAACCAGCCTCAACAATTTAGCAAGGCCCTAAGCAAGACCCTGTAATATTAAAAAAAAAAAAAAGGAAAAGGAAAAAAAGGCTGGGGATGTGACTGGGAATTGGACAAAAGGACTGACAGAGAAAAGATGCTTTAAGCATAGAAATCATGAACAACACTCAAGATTGTAGCTTCTCTTGCTACAAAGAAGAGCCAACCTCTAGGGGGTATAGGAAAAACAAGGTTATGGAAATCAGAAATTTAAATATGAAGAACACACAACAAATCACCCCAATTACAGAATTAAGCAGAGCATTTCTATTTCCTTTGTAGACCAAAAACAGAAGGCTGGTCCTCCCTTCACTTCCATCTTTTTATTCTCCACACTGAGCTTAAAGAGATAGCTTTAGGGGCTAGGATTGTGGCTCAGCAGAAGAGTGCTCACCTAGCATGTGCCAGGCCCTAGGTTTTATCCTCAGCACCACATAAAAATAAATAAAAGAAAGATATCATGTCCAACTACAACTAAAAAATATTTTTTAAAAAAATAAATAGATAAATAAAAAGGCAAAAATTAAGCCATTATGRCTCACTGTCCCATCAACAGAACACCTAAAAAACTTAACTTGGGCAAAATATACCACTATGGTAACCTTACAATAAATACTTACAGAAAAAACATATTCCTTTAAGAAAATAGGTGAAAATAATAATATTTGTTAATATTAATGTCACTGACAAAAATCATAAGTTGTATAATAAGCTCTAGATTATGATTTCCAACCTATTCTAATGCTCTCGTGTCAATTTCATTAAAATATTTGCAGAACTGAAAACTTGGGACTTAATGGGTATCATAAATAAAAGATTCATCAAAGGATTATAGAAACAGTATGAGAAATAGTTACCTGTGCCTTTGATCTTCCAACATGTTTCTTTTGAAACAAAAACTGCCTGTTGAGGTTACTGACATCAATAGTGTCCAGATCAATCTACAAATGCATAAACCCCAGATAAATTACAAATATTGTGGTATGTTTGAGCAATATCACTATCTTAAGCATTWATAACCTAGAACTTTTTAATATTTGCTATATTAGCAGAGAAAATGCTTTGCAGACCAATTATACCAAAACTGCTAAACTATCAGGAACAGTGGCATACACCTGTAATGCCACTGACTCGGAAGGCTGAGGCAGAATCTTAAAATTCAAACAGAAAAAGGTTTGGGGATGTGGCTCAGTGGTTAAATGGCCCTCATGTCAATCCCAGGTACCTCCACCCCTGCAATGAAAAGAATGCCTTTTGTTTATTTAATCATCCTTATAAGTACATCAGAAAATTTCTTTGAAGGCATTAAAATATATATGATTTACTGAAAATATAAAATTTAGCTTGGCATGGTGGTACATGTCTAATCCCAGCTACTTGTGAGACTCAGGCAGGATAATCACAAGTTCAAGGCCAGCCCAGGCAATTTAGTTAAGACCCTGTCTCAAAATGAAAAACAGAAAGGGCTGGGGATGTGGCTCAGAGGCAAAGCACCCGTAGGTTCAATCCCCAGAACCACGAAAGAAAAAAAAAAGTGTGTAGATTGGTGAAGATATAAACTTATCTACATACATATAAATTCTAAATCTCAATCTAATTTCTTTCAAATCCAATATAAATTTTACTGTGCTCTGTTCTTTTTATTAAATATGTGACTACCAGATTTACTAAATTCTTGCTGCCTTCTTTAATTCAAGCCTACATTTATATACCAAATTTCACTTGCAATTATTACTGAGGACTATAAAAGAACTTTTCTACATATGGTTAAAAAAGTGTCATGTTTTAAGTCTCATCTAATTGCTGCCTAAAAATATATATGAGAACTATAAGAAGGCCCTGGGTTGTAGCTCAGTGGCAGAGCTCTCAACACTATGTAGGAGGCCCTGAGTTAGAACTCCTGTACTGCAAACAAACAAAAAAGAATAAATAAGGAGCCTGATGCCATGGCCCACCCCTGTAATCCCAGCTATTCCAAGAGGCTGAGGCAGGAAGACCACAAGTACCAGGCCAGCCTAGGCAATTTAGCAAGACCCTACCTCAAAAATTTGAAAAATAAAATAAAATGGGGTTAGAGGTGGTGCATGCCTGTAATCTTAGAGGCTCTGAAGGCTGAGGCATGAGGATTGAGAGTTCAAAGCCAGCCTCAGCAACAGTGAGACACTAAGCAACTTAGTGGGACCCTGTCTCTACATAAAATACAAAATAGAGCTGGTGATGGTGGTTCAGGGCCTAAGTTCAATCCACAGTACCAAAAAAAAAAAAAAAAAAAGGGGGGTCGTGGTGATGGTGGTTGGGGCTATAATTCAGTGGTAAAGTGCCCGTGTTCAATCCCCAGTAGCATTCCCTCAAAAAAGTAAATACAAGGAAAAAATGGCTGCAATAATTTCATATCAGTTCAATAAATTTAATAAACAGTAACCAAATGTTCTAAGTGTAGCTGGGCAGGTGGGTTATAACGACAATCATAATTACTGGGGAAGCTGTAGCAGGAGGATCTCTGGTGGAGGCCAATCTGGTCAACAGGAGAATCTACCTCAAAAGAAAAAACCACACAGGGCTGGCATTGTGGCTCAGAGGTAGAGCGCTGGCCTACCATGCCTGAGGCACTGGGTTCAATCCTCAGCACCACATAAAAATAAAGATATTGTGTCTACCTATAACTAAATATTAAAAAAAAAAGAAAAACCACATAAAAAACATTTTATGTTCTAGCTTTTTTTTCTTCTTCTTGGTACTGGGGATTGAACTCAGGGCCTCAGGCATATTGGGAAATCGATCTACTATTGAGCTACATCCCCAGTCCTCATATTCTAAAACAACTGTGAAAAATCCTAACAGTTTTAGTCATAATTTGTTAACACTGTCAAAACATATAAGCATCTAAGGATTTATTTGTACTTCTAACTTTGCTACAAAAATTAAACCAAATAAAAATGTTAAAAAATGCAACCTTTTATTTTTCAGGTTTCCACATCACTCTTTGGTGGGAGGGGTGCTGGGGATTCGAACCCATGGACAGCAGGGCACTGTGGAAGCATGCCTGTAATCCCAATGGCTCGAGAGGCTGAGGCAGGAGGATTGCAAGTTCAAAGCCAGCCTCAGCAACTTAGTGAGGCACTGAGCAACTTAGGAAGGCTGTGTTTCTAATAAAATTTTTTAAAAAGGGCTGGGGATATGGCTCAGTAGTTAGCCCCCACCTACAAAACAACAACAAAAAACATAAACCCAAGGATAATAATTTACCACTGAGCTACATCCCCAGCCCCCAACCCCTCTTTTTGAGACAGGGTCTAAAAAAAAAAACTGATGAGAATGGCTCCCCTTGACCTTGTGATCCTCCTGCCTCAGCCTCCAGAATTACTGGGAAATTCACTATCTTATCTATTGCAAAATGCTTATTTTAAGAAAGTACCAGTATTTATCAGTATATGTGAATTTGTGGTACAGAACTGGATGAAAAACTAAGCAAAGAAAAACGTGTATATTCTTTCCTTCTCATCAGTCCTTAGTTCAGTCTGCTACCTTTCACTCTTTTATTAGCATAGTCTGTCTCCTCTCCTTTTTTCCCTCTTCACCTTGCCGGTACACCTTAAGTGTACTTAAACTCACATCCAAGTTCCAGGTGTTATCTCCAATCTAAGAGACAAATAACCTGACTGACAATTACAGTAGCTTTCTGTCATTGTACACCAACGCAAAAGTTAAAACCCTAAACACATCTTGAATGAAATAAGCAAGTGTACCTATGCTGTACTCAGCGGAGGAGCGCGAGCCCCAAAGGAGTCCTGCCACTTTGCTTCGTGACCCAGGGTAAGTTACTAAATCCCATTGCATCTCACTTCCCTCATCTGTTAAAAATAAAATGAGATGAAAACAGTGCACATGCATGAGGTGGTGGTAAAGAGTAAATGAATTAGTATAAACCGCTCGAGACGAGCGTCGGGACGTGGGGCTGCTGTGAAAGCTGTCCTCTGGGTCGTAATTTCTGAGTTAGGGGAAACCTGCAAATTAGAGTCACAACATCCACGAGACTCAATCTTCTCCTTTCGCTCCACTGCAACTGGGAAACAGTTTCAAAGTGAAAAGGTACGAGGCCACTTCCATCGCTTCGAGACGCCTCAAACTGGCGCTGCAGGGGGACGAAGGAGGGGGGGCGGGCAGCGGCCCCGCGACGGAGCGTCCGGAAGACCCGGGCCCGCGGCCTCCGGAGCAGGCCCGACGTGCGAAGGCGCGCCCCGTCCCGGTCGAACAGCTCCCTGCACACAGGCAGCCACGACCCAGGACTTCTTGGACCGCTCTCGGCGCCCCCAAATCCGGTCCTGAACTCTGGGCCCCAAGCCCCCCGGCCCCCGCACCGCAGCCCGCCATTCAGCCAGCGCGCGCCCGGCCCTCACCAGGTCGATGTGAGAGAAGCCGGTGAGCACAAGGTTCTTAAGGAGCTCGCAGCCGATGCCGCCCGCGCCTACCACCAGCACCCGGCCCCCAGCCACGGCCTCAGCCAGCTCCCGGGGAAGCCCCCGAGATAGTGCCATGGCGGGACGTCCACGAGCCGCGGCGGAGGCGGAGGCGGGAGAAGTGAGCCGCGCCCGGAAGCGGGTGGGGGAAGGGCGGCCGAACTTCCGCTCCTGCGCACTGCGGCCGCCAGTCGGCGCCAGGCAGGCGGAGTCCCGGGTCTGCCTCTGGTGTGGTGTGTAGTGTCCCCTGGGCCCAAGCCTTCCTCTTTGCGAATGGCTCCGAGACCTCCAACCGTGAAGAGTAGTAGTGCTTCTCATGTATGTGCACAGATCGGCTTTTCCACCTGAGAAGCCTCTTAAGATCTCCTTTTAGGCAGCGGTTTGAATTCCCAACCAAGACATAATTTATGAGTTGGAAAACTGCCCCTATATGTAAAGAGCTCTTACAAATTAATAAGAAAATATTGCAGAGCAGCAACTTAGGATGTGTGAGGCCCTGAGTTTGAGTCCCAGCATTACAAACAACAACAAACATGCAAAATCACACTGGGATTAGTTTCACCTATTGAACTGACAAAATATATATATATATATATATATATATACACACATATATATATATAAAAATAAAACATTCTGTTGTCAAAACATAGTGAAACAAGTAGTCGGGAATATTATATATATTTTGGTCTTTGTCCAATTCTCGGCTCTTCCTAAGATGGGCTGTAGAAAATAGAATGTCTTTTCTTCAAGGTAATGAAGCCAGATTGAAAGATAGGTAGTTAGTGTAGTTAGGTAAATCGGGTTTAATATCTAGTAAAATCGAAAGTGAAGGCCGTGTTGAGAATGGAGCCCGGAAAAGCAGAGCAGCACTTAGAGAAATTGAAATGTTAATGTTCCTAAGGCCCAGAGCCCATTCTAAAGAAATGTTAATGAAACAGCTCCCAGCAAACAGGGAGATGCTAATCAGAAGCCGCCCCAGGCCTGTCCTGCCCAAGATTACTCCTCAGGCCCATCTGCCCCTCACCTTTTGGGTCTCCCTACCTACTATCTATCACTGCAAGATAACAGAACGAAGGACTGGAACTGCGACAGAAATGGGAAAGCTGAAAGAAGACCTTAGCTATAAAAGAGGGAAGACCTCCCCCCTTCCACGGATTCCACCTGTTGGGACCCCTTCTTCCTCCGGGGAGAAGTCCTTTCTGCTGTTCTTTAATAAAGCTTCTACTTTCCACTCTAAACTTGCTGCGTCGTGCGTGTTATACTTCAGCTGTAAAGGTAAAATTTCTAAGCTGATTCTAAGCTGCAAGAGTCTGAGTTAAAGTGTAAAAGATTGGGCATTGTAAAGTTTCTAAATTGAAAGGCTTGGGCTAAAAATAATAATAATAGGCCAGGTATTGTTAAAATTCCTCTGCTACCCCCGAACCTGTAATCTCTGTAGCTGTTGGAACAATACCTGAACTGCCCAGTAAATATTTCCATTGATTCCCTGGTTGTTTATTAGCTAAGGGCTCCAAATAGCTCAGTAGGTAAGCATCTAGGCTCCAAAACCAATCACCCCTGCCCAGAATCATGTATGATTTGTTCTGATGTATGCAAAGCCCCCCGCCCTCTCCAAAAAGTGTACTTAAGCTCTGCTTGACCTCTGCTCTGGGCTCTGGGCTGCTCTCCCTTCCTGAGTGAGCCTTGAGCCCCAGCATGCTGGTTCAATAAAACTTCCCCCTGCAATTGCATGAAGCTGGTCTCTTGTGTGGTTTCTCCCTCCGACGCTCCGCCGGACCCTTACACAGCATTGGGGAAGCAAGGAGTCTGTCTCCAGTAAACTGCGGTAACAATAGGTCATAGAAACTCTAAATCTTTCTGTATTGGAGTAGTCCATAAAGAAAAAGGTTTTCTTTTCTTGCAGTACAGGGGTTAACCTGTTACTGAAAGCTTAGTCCTTGTCCCTGATGCCAATTTAATAAGGAGGACACAGTTTTACTTTCTTTTTGTTTTGTTTTAATATTTTTGTTAGTTGTTAATAGATCTTTATGTATTTACATGTGATGCTGAGAATCGAACCCAGGGCCTCACACATGCTAGGCAAGCACTCTACCACTGAGCCACAATCCCAGCCCAGAGGACACAGTTTTGAGAAAAAGGAAAAAGATTTATTGCTTTGCTAGCAAAGGAGAAGCACAGGGTACTTTTGTCTAGAGCTGTGATTCTGCCCATCAGGAGAACAGAGGGCTTTTAAAGAAGCTCCTCACAGGCTACATTCCCAGTATGCCTTGATGGGGATCCCAGGTGCGCCTTGATGGTATGTTGAAATTCACTTGTTAAGCTGGGCATAGTAGTGCCTATAATCACAGAGGCTCAGGAGGCTGAGGCAAGAGGATTTCAAGTTCAAAGCCAGTTTTAGCAATTTAGAGTGATCATAAGGAACTTAGCAAGACCCTATCTCAAAATAAAGTATAAAAAAGGCTGGGGATGTGGCTCTGTGGTGAAGCAGCCCTGGGTTCAATCTCTGGTGCCTAAAGGAAGGAGGAAAGGAAAGGAAATGATTTGTTAATTTGGGAGTTAGTCATGCCTTAGATCTTCTGGTGACCCCTTCTTCCAGTGGTGGGTGTGGCTCAAGGACAGATAAGTGCCTAGGATGGGGAAAGGTACTTTTTTTTTTTTTTTTGAGAGAGAGAGAGAATTTTTTAATATTTATTTTTTAGTTATCGGAGGGCACAACATCTTTGTTTGTATGTGGTGCTGAGGATCGAACCCGGGTCGCACACATGCCAGGCAAGCGTGCTACAGCTTGAGCCACATCCCCAGCCCCTGGGGAAAGGTACTTTTGTTCTCTGGCCCCCAGGTTAGGGAAAGGGAGAAGAGGAACAGAAAAATATGTTCCTTTTAAAGTAAGTCACAGAACAGTGACGGCTATGTTCCAAAGGTGAAGTTGACCACTGTTACAAACCCAGATGTGATCTACCACTGAGCTACATCTGCAGCCCTTTCGTTTTTTGAGACTGGATTTCCCTAATCTGACCTGGCGGTCCTCAAACTGCCATTCTTCTGCCTCATCCTCCAGAGTTGCTGGGTTGAGCCACTGTGTCCAGCTTCCATAAAGAAATTTTCTAGCCCACTTGAATAGTAGGTCATAAAACCTGTTTCATTCCAGAGGGATCCTGCCCCTGCCCTGAAGGGAAGCATGTTGCACACAGAGGCCAAGCAGATTACTGAACTGACAGGCCTTGTTGGGTTTTGCCACCCAGCCTATGAGCATTAGATCACACCCTCTGTGTACAGTCACATTTCTACAAGGTTGTCCATGCTTCAATCATGCCTCTGCAATGAAGTCTATGAAAACCCGAAAGAACAGGCTTAAGAGCATCTAGACAGGCAAACCCATGAATGTCAGCCCAGAGCCCAGAAGCTCCACTCCCCACCTCCAACACCATGCCTTATGCTCCTTTTCATCTGCAATTTTTGTAATATCCCTTATAATAAACTGGTAAATTTCTTTCCCTAAGTTGTGCAAGCCACTCGAACAACTGGATTTGACATGAGAAAGGGATTTTGGGAACCCCAGTGTAGAGCTGATGGGTCAGAAGTACAGGTAAAACAATCTGGGGTTTGCAATTGGCAGGGGGAATCTTGAGGCATGAACCCTCAACCTACAGGATCTGAGGGTATCTCTAGGTAGTGTCAGAACTGAATTGAGGACACCTAGCTGGTGTCCACCACTGCAGAATTGATTGATTGCTTAGTGTATGTGAGAAAACCCCCATACATCTGGGGTCAGAAATAATCCATGTTGTAAAAATTTAATAGGAAAAAAAGACTCAGTTGAAATTTGGGGGATTTGTTAGGTTTCTTTTCCAACTACAATACCCACTCCCATATGCTCCAGGTAAATGTTCTAAAGAAAGATTCTACTGCCAGGTATGATGGTATATGAAAGACCCCAGCCCAACAACCTCAGGCCTAGTTGCAAAACCACCGAGGCATGTCACAAACCTACGCAGGCACCAGAGGTGTTTTTCAGACAATCAGTTAGGTGTAACCGGGTGAGAAAGCACAAAGGACCAGGTCCTAAGGCATGCCTGAATGAGCAGCAACAGGAGGACCAGAG